ACTGAAAATATAAATGTTTTTTGATATGTTATAACCAAAATTTACCATCAATATAATAAAATTGTTTGGGACATAAATAATTAAAATATGTTGTTGGCCAGATGAACATATAATAGAAATTTTCTTCACATTCTATACAAAATATTATTGTTATTTTTACCTTTCTTAAATTTTTAGGTGATTTTCAGAAGGCTACAACTTAGGGAAAAATGGTCGTATAGCAATAAAAAAAAAGCAAATTGAAGCTCGGAACTTTGTAGATTCAGGATTTGAAAGTTAAAAATCTTAGTTCATCACAAGATGTTCTTACAATTTTTTGGGACATTTTTTTCGATGCAAGAAATTTGATTCAAAATAAGGTAAACAATTGCGTCTTTAAGAATATTCGCTAAACTTGATATAACTTTTTAAATAATACATAGACTAAGGATATTTTCGGGTTTATTTAACCTCAAAGAATCCCGAAAAACCCACAAGAGCTCAAACCACTGATATTTTTCTTTCATTATGATCCGAATGATCGAAATGGTAAATTAACAGATAAATTTTGCATCTTTCATTTATTTTTTAAATTCAATTTTTTTCGCAAAAACCCTATTTCTTTTTTCATTAAATAATGTTAAATATCGAAAAAAGAAAAAAATAAACAGAATTTCAGAAAAAGAATTAAAATGGTACTTTGAAATTACATCACTATAAAACATTTTCAACTCTATTATTATTATTATTTCAATTTGAAATATTAAAAACTACAGCAGCTTGTAATAACGTTTCTTTAGTGCCCATTATGACAGCATAGTAATAACTGTTTAAAATTTGGATAATGTATGAATGAATACTAGCTATCAAAATGACGTTTGCAAAAAATCGGAATATTCATTAAAACTTACCATTTCATAAGAGAATTTGCTCAATCCATGTCAAAATGTGTGTAAGACAAAAAAGTGCCTTTATTGCAATAAAGAACTACTGTTTATACTTTATTTATTTCAGGCTAGGGAACATAAAAAAGAGCATATAAAATGTACCCGAATTTATGACATTAATTCTATGACTTCAGTCAAGTTTAGACAAATGACTGACTAACTTTAATTTTTTCAAGTTTGCTGGAAACCTTGCACAGTTTTTTTTTAATAGTAATGCTTTTAAATATGTACAACTTTCCTAATAACATTAAGTTATTTGTGTGACACAATTTCCGATTCTTTTCTCTTTATTATTGGGTATTAATATTAGAGAAATTAATAGCCTTTGCGCTAAAATGATCAGTCAAGGGTTATCAGCTTTGCCTAAGCTAAAATCCAACACTGAAGAAACGTATACCAGAGGCATTTCACTATACATTGTGATTCAGGTTTAATCTGGATGATTTCAGGAATCGATAGAACAGGTTAATTATTTCCTAATTCCTATGGCGTTGAAATAGAATTTCCCCCCCCTTTTCCCTCATAACTTTTGAACCAGTCATCCGATTGTGGTGATATTCGGAACACAAACACTCCATATGATCTTACATAAGCTTCTAAAGTTTGAACCAGCTACCCCCCTTAGAAGTGTATTTTTGTGCTACCCCCCTCCTACATTATTTCAAAACTTCAAATAAATTAATTAATTTCAATAAAAAACAGCTGCACACCACTTTTGTCTCGTTAATTTTGAAACTCTTGCGTATCTTTTTTTTTTCGAGGTTTGGCCTTGTTCGTAAAAATCATCGTTGAAACGATGCGATTTAGGAAATAAGTTTATATCATGAAGAACATTATTTTAACCTATTCTATCGATTCCTGAAGTTATCCAGATTAAACCTGAATCACCCTGTATATGAACTTACTCCAAAAAGTTGTTAAAAGTTTCGAGAATCTATCTATTATTGTCTTCTTTTCCGTTTTAATTATTTCTAGCAATTTAAATTAGTTGGTTTTTCTCCATTTCCATAGTTAGAGAGATCATATGACGTTAATTCTATTATTACTTACTTCATCCTTTAAAATTTATAGCCTACAATGATCCAAAGCCATAGAATAATTTGAAACACATCTTTTATCATTCAACAAAATAGTCGGAGTCTCCTTTAATTTTTTTTTAACCGTAGTAACTTTCTTCTCTAAAATTTTGGACCAACCACATTGAATTATACGATCGTTTTCCCAAGATTATTTTTGGTTAGGAAAAACTAATAACCCTGACCTTTTTGGCGCAAGGTTTATTTCACTAGTTTTTTAAATTTTTTCACAAGTGGAAAAATATCCAATAAATAAATAAAAATATTAACAATTAAAAATATATACATCATATTCTAACTATTAAACCAAATACGTTTGATGAATAAAAATAAAAAAAAAATCAGAAAAATAATCAAAACTCAAAACTCTCCCTAGGTGCCTTATTTGACATGTAACTTTACCCTTCTCTTTGAGCAGTGTGCAACAACTCTTAAATATACAGAGTGTTTCTGAAATAAGGGCGTTCCTTTAAAGGGTGATAAAGGGCATGAAAATGAGCAACTTTTATTCAACAACCGATAGTCTTCTATCTTGTGTTTTCGGGTAAATTTATTAAAAATGTTAACCATAAATGAAGTCGACCCTGTGCATCTTGTGCACGTGCGTTGTGTGTTGCAGTATCACTTACCCGGCGTATAAAACTAACAGTACTATGTGGCGTGTACTACGTGAACAATTATTACACCCCCATCATGTACAAAGCGTTCAGGCATTAGACAACAATGATTTTCAGCCCCGTGTGGAATTTTGCCAGTGTTTTCGACATCAAATAGCACAAGATCCGGATTTTACATGCAATGCGCTTTTTACGGATGAATGTTGTTTTACTAGAGACTAAATTTTCATAACATTCACTATTGATGTGATGCAAATCCTTAAGTTGTGCAGAAATCTCGGTTCCAATAACGGTTTTCAGTAAATGTGTGGTGTTTTTAGTGACAAAATTTTGACCGTCGTTTGGAAGCACGTTTATTAGCACTTTGAACAATTTTTTTAGAGCATATCGTCTATTAGTAAGTAATTCGTTTATTCGTTCAATTTTGTTACTTTTAAACGAGATCTGAATAAATTTCAGCTATTTCGAACACATATAAACCGTCAAAACCGCCATCAGCGCTGCGGCGCGCGGCAGCTTCGATATCAAAGGAACAAATATTCATGTGAAAACATTTTTTTCAATTCAAAACGTTTTATAGTCTGTTTAGAAATGAAAGAGGGTAATAAAAGCTTATTATGTATGCAAATCGTAAATAAATGTAGTACTGGTGCTTATATTCAATATTTTTATATTATGTATTATCGGTATAGGATGAGGTGTACTTTTAAAAAAACTTTGCTAAAATTTAATCCCCGACAATCCGTCTTTGTCTATGCCGCTTCAATTTCTCGGTCCATTTCTCTTATAAGTAAACAATATAAAAACAGCATTTCAAAACATGAGGCTACTTTAAGCATCATAACCGGGTTAAGAGGGTTTTTAGTAATTCAAATAAAATTATTCAATATTATTATCAAAATATTTATTTAAATTTAATGAATAGACTTTTATTCCACACAAAAATATATGTATTTTGAAAATTCAAATTATGGTGAGTAAATGTAGTGTTGTATAAATGTACAATAAAGAAAATAAAAAAGTAGGTATATTAAAATTCATCCTCTGAATATTCTGATGAATTATCTTCGTCTCCTAGATTGATAACGATAGGTTCCACAGTAACGTCAATTAAATTATCGAGTTCCCACATTTTCTCCTCTTCTTTTTGTACATGATGTATACATCTTTGCCAGTTATCTGCAGTTACTCGTTCCAAGGAATTTTTTAACAAAATTTTCACGTCACTTAATTTAAACGTCGTATTATTTCGCGCTACATCTCCTTTTACCTGCGCCCAGACTAATTCGATTGGGTTAAGTTCACAGTGATAAGGTGGTAACCGTAGTACCGTTATTTGGCGATTTGTTGCCATTTCATCGATAACATATTTTTTCTGATCTTTATTAAGATTGACAAGTGTCAAAAGTTCCTTTTTCACCATATTTGTTTCAAAAGAAATGTTTTTTCCGGATAACCATTGAATTATATCGGCTTTCCTCCAAGCAGTCGTAGGCGTCCGCTCGGTCTGCCGTGAATGGTAACTGGCATTATCCATGACAATTACAGACCCCGGAGGAATAAGATCCAACATCTGTGTAAAATACTCTTCGAAAACATCTGCGTTCATGTCTTCGTGATAGTCACCTGTATTTTTAGATTCAAATAAAAGTAAACCGCCATCTACAAAACCACTGGCACTACCTATATGTGTCACTATTAATCTTCGCCCTTTACCTGAAGGTGCCTTGAACCCTGTTGAAAGTCCATCCAAAAATGCTTGTCGAAAACTTTTTACATTTTTATCTTGCCATACTTTTGTTACAGTATATCCCTCGTTGACCCAAGTTCCGTCTAGATAATAAATATTCTTCCCTTCGTCACGGAATTAGCATTAGTGTTACCCGATAATTACCTGAAACGAAATATTACCACGCCCATGGCCGGTTCTTATCTCGGGGTTTTATTACTCTCTTTCATTTCCAAACAGACTATAGACCATTGTTGCTTAATAAAAGTTTCTTATTTTCGTGACCTCAATCACCTTTTCCAAGCAACGCACTTATTACAGAAACACCCTGTATTTTAATGTCTCAAAAACATGTTTTAGTGTTACCAACGGTACAGCTAAGAGGAAACATCGAAGCTTGTGCACACAATGGGACATACCTACATGTGTAACAATGGACGTAAAAATTAAAAAGTCAACAAACGCCTCGACCGGTGCTCGCGGCACTCAGCACACCAGCAAGGTAGATAGATGGAGGCCAACTACAACATCGACAGAGAGAATGTACAAAAAAAACAAACAAACACTTAAAAAAAAAGGTCACCGGATACCGGCGCAGGCCTAAAAAAAGGAAACAGTGTAGTACACAGGTAGAGAGAAGCAATCGACTTACCGAGATTTAAACATAACCTCAAAAATGCTATCCCAGGACACGCCCGACGTCACCAGTTGGTCCATCACACGGGGTGAACCTTATCTTTGGGGCCAGGTAGTGATTTTTAAGCGTCCGCCTGAGAGGTTCGTCGCTTTTATGTGTGTGTGTAAAATGATTAATAGTGAAACCTTTACTGCTATCTAGCCACCCTAAAAGCAGACCAGATATTTTAGATATATTTTTTATTATCGTTAGGGGCAGTTTCTACACAAAGGTAGTCTGTTATTCGGGTTAGAATAGGCCGTAAACTCTCCCGTCAGGTACCTGATAAATTACAACGAAAAAAACGCCAATTTTATTGGACAAGTCGATCACTTCTTTCAACCGAAAGCGCGACTACGAACTGAAATAAAAAAACAATCGTCCACGGAGTGCCACGTAAAAAAAACTAATTTATATCGATTTTACATCATCCTCGTATTTATCCATAAAATTAGTCTAGACGCCGATTTCAATGTGGACTACGTTTAACATTAATTTGAGCCTTCCGAGTTATTTTTACGTGTATTTCTGACAAATATGCTTTATCAGTATCGTAAACTTTATCATTAGACATTTTGAGGGCGTAAATGCTTACATAAAAGATTTCTACAAGAATAATTTAAGTAAGGAAATGGTTTATAAAAGTGCTCCAACATTATAAATTACACATTTCAATTTTATCCATGTACTCTTGTAAATACAGGGTGTCTCATAATTAGCTGCCAACCCTGAACAGGCCGATTCTATGATCAAAACTAAGTAAAAAAGTTCATATGAACATGGGTCCGGAAATGCTTCCTAAGGGCACAGGGACCCATTGAAGAGGGAGGAATGGAAATCATTTTTTTGCAATATCTCTCAATCGCGTTGTGATAAATGAATGAAATTTGGTATACACAGCTAAATTTTGATGAGCAATTTGATGGACTAATCCATTTATTTCCACAAGGTCCATTGGGGTGGGTACGGGGGGGCCCTTGGTACTTTGCGTGTGTAACTTTTTCATCTTTGACTTTTTAACAAATTGGACAGCAAATTCCGTTTTCCCGAACTGTTTTACGTTAAAAAGGTACTCTTGTTTCAAATCGTTATCTTTAACGGTTTCTGAGAAAATCGCTCTTGAATTAATCCCACTTTGGTCAATTTCATAGTAATTTAAACAAAAAATAATAATAATAATTTTCCTTTCCTCTCTTTTCCATTTAAAGGATTAATTTTTATTTAATTTAATTTTTTATTATTATTTTTTTATTAAAACTAGATTAAATTGAAACAAAATATTTTTTTTTGTTTAAATTACTATGAAATTGACCAAAGTGGGATTAATTCAAGAGCGATTTTCTCAGAAACCGTTAAAGATAACGATTTGAAACAAGAGTACCTTTTTAACGTAAAACAGTTCGGGAAAACGGAATTTGCTGTCCAATTTGTTAAAAAGTCAAAGATGAAAAAGTTACACACGCAAAGTACCAAGGGCCCCCCCGTACCCACCCCAATGGACCTTGTGGAAATAAATGGATTAGTCCATCAAATTGCTCATCAAAATTTAGCTGTGTATAACAAATTTCATTCATTTATCACAACGCGATTGAGAGATATTGCAAAAAATGATTTCCATTCCTCCCTCTTCAATGGGTCCCTGTGCCCTTAGGAAGCACTTTCGGACCCATCTTCATATGAACTTTTTTACTTAGTTACTTATCATAGAATCGGCCTGTTCAGGGTTGGCAGCTAATTGTGAGACACCCTGTATAGTAAAGGTAATAAACTGGCTAGTGTTGCCAAATTAAAAATGCATTAACACCCTCGAACAGGTCGATTTTTGGTTTAATAAAGGCATACTTTGATGTAATTCCACCCTAATGCCAACACCTTATACCAACTAAGCGTTCAATTGCAGTACCAAATAGCGCTGAAAGCAACCCATTTAAGATCGTTTAAAATTGCCCAATCAAGAAAGTAAATAAAGTGAAATTGAATTTTTAGATTTTTTTTACCATAAATGATTTTTCTATAATTGATAGACGTAAAGTTACCATCAAAACCACTAAATCTCAATCCTGGGGATTTCTTTTTATGGGTACATCTTAAATTCAAATTGTAAAGGCGTATTTCCACGACGCGGGGTTCGGCGAGCATACTAGATCATGTATAAATCTGCTATTGGCAAAATAAGATTCGGTCAAAGCAAAGCAGCTTAATTTATGAACGAGTACACTTTACGAACCTTGTGTCATAAAATATAGTCTTAATACAACTAAATTGTTGCATTGTTGATGAATGTACAAATTCTTACTGAATTTTTCAAAAGTTACAGACGAGGTCAGGCGCGGATCCAATGGGTAGGAAGGGGGGGGGCGATGAGAGCGATCACACCCCCCCCTCCCTAAATGGTCCAAAAAAATCTTTAGTGCAAACAAAGCAACAAAGAATCAACCATAAAAATAAACCCCAAGAGCTCCGTACCCCACAATATTATAAAACCAATAGCCCTATACTAAAATTCTAAACTTTAAGCTTCTAAATCTACCTACTCCACGAGCGAACCAAAAAAAGCATCGTCTAGAATCATTTTCTTAGTAGTTCAGTTTTCTTCACTGCACAACTTTTTTTTACGTCACCTGCACCCCAAAATACCGTCTTTGGATCCGCCCCTGATTGAGACACGAAACAAACTTCCATTCGCAAGTGCAAATTTTAGTTTTTTAGTTTTTTTTACTTCTCCAGACAGATAATTTCAATCACGAAGTAATTCGACAGCTTTTACTATTTACTTTAAAAAAATATTAGTATTAAGGAGCAAATTCATACACCAAAGAACGTCAACTCAAAATGTTTTTTCTACTTTCCGTATAAAATAATGAATAGAAAATTTAACAACTAGCTTTACATGTAAAAAAGTGGCTAAATTTTATTTTATTTCTTCATCTAAAGCTGGTAGAAACAAGAACAGATCATTTAGTGAATATTTTATATATCTTATTAGATAATTAATTATTAATGACTAACTTATCAGTGGATTTAGTTCGATAGTACACCCAGATATTTGGTATCAAACAGCAGTGCCTACACATATACAATTTTATTTTCTGAGAATTCAAAAACATTTTTACTAATTTGATGTATACAAATCCGGCCCAATAAATAATAATAATAAGCCGCCCCCTCTCCGCACAAGTCTTCCACGTTTAGGTTAATCTTTGCGATTAGAATTGAAAATAAATAAGACATCATTGCAACTATATTTAAAAAAATAAAATTTGAGAAACTATTTTCCTAAAGTCCGTTTCCTCTTTTAGAAAAAGGTGATAAATATTTTGAGCATGTTCAGAATAAGCAACAGCATGTTGCACTGCAATCAAAAACATTAAACTGAAATCTGAAGATCTCCCTTCCAATGAATTTGCAAAATAATGTTTTTTTTTCTAAGATAGTTTTCTTTGGTTTGGTTTTTCGTGGAAATTTGATTAAATATATTTTTTAAATATTTTTTTTTTTGTTATCGGTTTGTTATCGGTTATCTTGCTTCTTTTCTTAATTTACCTACTCATAAACAATTTATATTTTGTTTCGTTTTCTTGTTTTAAATAAAAATGCATACTTAATTACTTCTCCTTAATTTGCCCTTGAGCTGTTCTAATTTGAAATTTCAATTCATCCAGAATATTAAAATTTTGTTGAAATATTTTATTTTTATGCTATTATTCCAGCAAAATGTATACGGAAAAATATTGTCATAGATAATACTTCTTCACATCAATTTTCTCAACATTTTGCTTCTAAAAAAGAGTTTTTCTCCAATTTCTACACTTTTATTCTTCCTAAATTTTCAAATCTTTATTGACAACAGCATCAGACAAGGATTTTTTATTTATGTGAAAATTAATTTTCTAAAATTCAACCTCTAATGGGCTTATTTTCCGTAAGTATTTAACCTCTCAAATATGTGGTGAAAAAATCAGGTCGATAACTCAATCAACAGTCATAAATACTTACGCAAACCATCTGTGACGTCACACCGTTCGAATAACTCGAAGGGTCTATAAGTTACTAGTCTCAAGTTATTGATTTTTGGTATTGTTTATCTTTTCCTTATTTGCGGTTATTTTTATTAAACTATTTTTGCCCAACCAAAAATTGCACATTGAAAACAGCAGATTCATTTGAAGGTAAGTCCATATTTTTGAAAAATGATATTTCTGCAATACATATATGTTTAAAAAAGGGACAAGTTACATGTCACTTATCCCCTTCTCGCACCACCTATGCGTTGGTATATTGCGCTTGGAATTTGTTCCGGCCAGCAATATAAGGTGAGAATAGAAACGAACGGTATGACGTCACAACACGGTTCCGTGTTAATTATTTTGAAGGAGAAACTGTTGAAAAAAAATATGACTTTCGCACATCAACTAACTACGATATATACATTCCGAACAATAATTAAAAAAATATATGTTAAATGAGTTTTCCCCATTTACGCGATACACCCCGTAGACTAACCGTCAGCGATCAAATTAATCGATCTGTCGCAAACCGAATATGTCCCAACTCGACTTTGAGAACGCGTACTTATCGCGGAAAAAAAAACCGTCGCGCGTACGCGACAATTGGCGACGGAGACGCGGCTGTGCTACAAAAAGTTGAGCGCGAGCGTCGTTACATAATTTTTTTTTAACCCTGAACCGACACAATGGTAATCGCGCCCGTTTACAGAGATAATGGCCGGCCTTCGCTGCGGATATGGAGCCGGTTAATGGTGCGAAAAGCGAACCGTCTATTTATTTCGCGACCGACCGCCGAATAGACGGCCTCCCGGTTACCGTTATCGCGACAGCGTCACCTTAATTGTCTTTTTATTGTCATTAATAACGCCGTAATACCCCGCTTTGGGAGCGGCCGCTGTACGGGGTGTTGCGCCTTTGCGAGGCGACCGATGTTACATACGGGCTGTCCCCATTTGAAGAGGGAAAGTTAAATTTTTTCATATTTTAAAATTATTTTTCATTACACAGGGTGTCCCAATTCTTCTAGGCGTTACCTAACTTCGTTCTCGTAAATGGACGACTTGTATACAGAGTGTCCCAGTATTTTTTTAACTCTAACAACTATTAAACATCTTGTACCTTTGACAATATCGTTTCAAAACGTATTTTTTTTCTAAAAA